CAATGCAATGGAGGCCTCGTTTGTTGCCAGTCATGTGGTTTTCAACAAGACAACACAGGCCTCGAAGCGGGGCTTCATTGACACGCCCCCTTATTACTCGGTACAAGCCTCGAAGCCTGGCTTCAGATAGCCCATCACTAGTTTACCGCTTCCAAGAAGCTGTAAACCTCTGTATCCTGCCGTAACATGAGGTGATGTTCTTTGATGTATGGCACAACAATGGGCCTCGGGATCTCCTCTCAGTATTTCTTGGCATTTAAAATTCAGTCAACAAAATGCAGCTGTGTTCTTCGTCCATAAAAGATGCCTGTCCATACCATAAAGCCACCGCCACCATGAGCCACTCGATCCACAACACTGACATCAGAAAACCGCTCACCCACAACTTTCCTGAATAGTGTAAACTGGGATACATCCGTGAAGAGAGCACCTCACCAACATGCCAGATGCCTGCAAATATGAGCAGTTTCCCATTCAAGTGAGTTACAACGATGAACTGGAGTCAGTTGGAGACCCTGTTGAAGAAGACAAGCATGCAGATGAGCTTCCCTGTGACGATTTCTGACAGTTTGTGCAGAAGTTCTTTGGTTTTGTAGATGGATTATATCAACAACTGTTGGTCTCAGATCATCTTGGAGGTGAACATGCTGACTTAGACACTCAGACAACTTTTGTTGTCATTTTTGTTCACATAGAGTTCTTGGTATAGTTTATGTAAAAGTCTTGCAAGACCATGAAAATATCAGATATGATTTGAAATGGTGAAGTATTAAAAATACAATATTTGGGTATTTAGCCAAACTTTTAATCATGTATGCTTTGTTTAACAGAAAACAGCATTTGCCAGGAGCTTACAGATGGTCCCTGGGATGACGAACAGTTTTCTGTAATGTCTACTATCACCTGTAGGGGGCGACGATTGAACAACGCAAAGGACGAGAGTTTAGACGTCACATCCTGTCGTCGCAAAGAGGGAAGCAAACATGGCGGCACTAGCAGAAAAATCAACGAAGGAGCGTCTGCTGTCTGTGTTGGATGACTTAGAGGTTTTATCTCGGTAAAGGTTTATTGCTTATTGTTGCGAAGTTGTTTTATGCTTTTCTTTCTTCATTTCCAACCCATTTAAAGTGGCGTAAACAGTTTACGAGTTGTTTGCAGGTTAGGTCAGAACCAGCTATGTCCGGTTGTATATTCTTAAAGTGCACAAAGTTCAAATATAATTGAATTAACCGAATAATAACTGCTCTTGGAAACACTTTAGTCTACTTTAGAGTCTATTTTATCCATAGCTTCGTAGTTGTGATGAACAAGCAGCAGCAGCAGGTTTATGCAGAGCTGTACTTGCTCTTACCTGAAGCTATTATTCAGCTGTTATCAACTGTTTTTGTGTTTTTATTTCAGGGAGCTGATAGAGATGTTGGCTCTGTCCAGAGGTCAGAAACTCCCCCAACCAGGAGAAGACACTCAGGTACCAAAAAACTCACTCACCTGCAGAGGTCTGATTATATGGACTGAACACTCCATGCAGCTTTGTTCACTCTCATTGGTTGTAAATGTAAATCCCTTTATTGTCCCAGAATGGGGAAATTCACTCTCTGCATTTTACCCATCCACTTGGAGAGCAGTGGGCTGCCAGTGTGTGGCACCAGAGGAGCAGTGTGGGGTTAATGGTTTTGCTCAGCAACCTATTGGGTGGAGGACAAATTCTCTATATTGTCTTCTAATTATTTTTTATTATGTTCATGGTGGGTTGAGCCAAACATACTGAAAATGTGCAGGGTCATCTTTGAGCACACCATTTCACTTTTCTTTCACCAGTTCAACGCAGTTCTTCCAGCAGTCCACACTTTCCCTCTTCTCTTTTTCTCATCTTCTCCTTCTTCCCCATCGCCCAGCTTGCCACAGGTTTGCCTGCTGTATCTAAAAGTAGCTAGCAGCAGCAGCAACCCAGACTGACACAGCTCATTGGCTAATTTTTGTCACTTGCAGCCTGATGCCGGACGCTCCGGACAGTTTTACCATATTAACAGGAGAAGCAGTGCAAATGAAGTTAGACACTGTCGTCAGACAACATGCGGTTATTTATAAATGTTTTAAATCAGGTTGGGTCCGGATTAGCCAGCAGGTGGGTCCGGATCTGCTAATCTGTGACCTCTGTACTAGGCCAACACTCATGATAAGCCATGAATATGTGTATCTTTGTTTGTTTGCAAACTTTCAATAAAAAAAACAAAAACACCTTAGTTTTATAGGTCATTAGTAGGGTGGAAAAAATTTATCAAATTAATCAATTATTGAAATAATTTTATTTATTTTTATTATTTTAATAAACATGCCTTTAGCTTACAGAGCAATGCTCAGAGCAGTAATTATATCAAAATTGTAAGAAAATATGTAAACATTTTACATTTGAAATAAAAAAAAAAAAGTTTTCATTCATCAATACGTTCATTCAAGAACTCCTCAAGTGGAAACATTTGTTTCAACTGGTTTAATTTAGTAAAGAATTGTCTTTAAGAAGCTTGATTAATAATCAATTAATGTAAAAACAAAATTAAAAGACAGATTAATAGATTCACAAAATAATCATTAGTTGCCGACCTTGTCATTATTGAGCTCCTGACGACTGTATGCAGTAAACTGCTCATGTTGTTTTTATTGTTGTGCCCTGAAGAAAGCTTTTACCGGAGCCATTGAAAGATCCACTGATCGCTGCTTTTAACACTTGATGCTCCTCTCTGGTGGAGAGATCAGTTTAATTGAGGATCTTGGAAAACTTGCAGTTTCTAATAGGGTGGCTATCATTTAAGGTTTTGATGTTAGATCTTTTTTCAAAAGGCGTCATAAACTGAAATGTTTTCACTGTAACCGTATTCAATAGTAGGTGGTTTGTTTCTAATAGAAGCTTTTCTTAAAGCTTCTGTAATGATGTCTATCGAGGTTTAGACATCATTACAGCTTTAAAGGGGAATTTCGTTTTTTTTTTTTACATTGGGCCCTTGATTTTACGTTATTACATCATGCTCTACTCACCCATATGAATTTTGTGTCATTTGGCGCTGTTCTGAAGATATTCCGTTAGGTTATATCCAAGTAACGTCTTCCTATGGGCAACGACTTGAAGCCACAAACTAAACTGTTCATAATTTATCATTTATGGTATGTCAGCATTCATAACATGTAGGCAAATCACTGTCCCCCAGACATCCACGGTTATATTTTTTATATTTATATGTTTAAAACAAAGCGGCACATGCTTCTATTCATTCAGCTAGCTAATCTGAATTGTTCCATTCCATTTCGAGAGCGAGATCATCTGTGGTAGTAGCACTAGACATCTTCCTGGCCTTTGAGTAAAACTAGCAGCAGTTCAGCAGACAGAATAAATGAATGCGCGGATGACGTCATGCACACTCCGCTTTGTTTTAAAAAAATAGAAATATAAAAAATATAACCACGGATCTCTGGGGGACAGTGACTCGCCTACATGTTATGAACGCTGGCGTACCATAAAGAATAAATTATGAACAGTTTAGTTTGTGCCTTCAAGTCGTTGCCCATAGAAAGATGTTACCTGGATATAACCTGACGGAATATCTTCAGAACTGCTCGAAATGACACAAGACTCATATGGGTGAGTAGAACATGATGTAATAACTTAAAATCAATGGCCATATTAAAAAAAAAACTGCCTTCCCCTTTAAATATCGTTGCTGTATTTAGTTTTTGAACAGAATGTCAGCCATTTTTCCCATATGTCCCTTTATTGTTGCTGATTTGGTTTCACTTTAAAAAAAAAAATATATATATATATTTTTTTTAAGCTCAAATTAGTGTCTGGTTTTAGAGAAGTTGTCCTCCACCCTGTTAGCATTTCCTCTGTAGACATTTAAAGAGGGTTTTATCCTTCCTCAGATCTTAGAGATGCTTGTGCAGAGGGACAAGGAGTTCCAGGAGCTGATGGAGGTGGCCCAGCAGCAGGGGAAGGTTCACCAGGAGATGCAGCTATTGGAGAAGGAGGTGGAGAAGAGAGACAGCGACATCCAGCAGCTGCAGAAGCAGCTGAAGGAAGCTGAACACATCCTGGTATGGAGCAGATTTGTTGTTTCTGCTGACCATGTCTACTGATCCTTGATGCACCAAAGCTCTTATGCTACGTTCAGACCGGACGCTGTAGAAGCAGTTAGTTTACATGCAAAATCAATGGTTGACGCGTATCAAGGCGCAGCAAAAGGTCCTGCAGCGTGTTTTGAGCAGCGCTGAAGCAGCCCATCATGAGCTTCTGAGCATCTGACGTGCTTCACAAGCAGCGGCTGCTGGAGTTGGAGAAATTGAACTTTTGCTGCTCGACTCGCCACATCAGCCAATCAGAAAAGCTAATCTGAGGCTGGCAGGGAGACAGACTGCTGATGAAGATACTAGGATCACTCCTCTGAAACAGTTTAACGCCTAAATTAACTTAAAATGTCGAAACCTGCTGGCAAGACATGTTTGCTTTCATTATTCTGGTGCCTGCAGTTTGGTTTACATACGTGAAAAACACCTTCCAGCTACCTTAAACAGTAGCGTAAAACTGTGAAGAGGCGACTGGGCCAGGGGCTGCTGTTAAACGGGATCCCCAGTGGCAACGCACCGTCGGTGTGTGGGGATCTGAGCAGCACTGACAGTTAAACAATATTGGAAGGCAGGATCGTAATGTTGGACTGACTGGACAGATTAAGTTTTAAGAATGACTTTCTCTCTTAAAAACATATTATAACTATGTTTTACCCACTTATAACAGCAAAGATGGCAAAGCCACTCTGCCATTGAACACAGGAGCAGCAGAAACATCAGACGCTTCTGGACACACTACTGGAAATCTGTCCTTAATGTGACCAAGCATCAAAAATTAAGCAGCAGAAGCACTTGCTGTCAAAACGTAGCATTATTAATTCAGATAAGCCAAGCGACTCTCTCGATTTCATCCGCCATTTTTTAGAAAGGATAGGTTAGCTCCGCCCACCATGCATCTGACCCACTTTTTCCACCACGCAGCCTAGAGCAGCAAAGATGCTTCAGCCGTGCGTCAGAACTAAACATGTACAAGCATTAAAAATGAAGCAGCATGCACGTTTTTGCTCCTTCTGCTGATGAGGTCTGAAGGTAGCATTAGAACATTTGTAGATCCAAATCATGCTTCTCCTGCTGATGTACAGCTAGACGTTATCAAGACCCATAACACACTTAGCTTTACTCACTGTGATGCAGCTGAATTTCCTAGCTTTAATGATCATTACCCATGTGGACTTGTTACTAAGGAATAAAAACTGATCACATCCACAGATGTTTTTAGCTTTCGATGTTCAGTTTAGGAACATCACTTAAAGATTATTATAGTGTCTGATTGTGTCCCTCATGATTTCTGCTATGTTAATGGAAACTGGTTCTCTTGTCTTTTTTCTCCAAGGCCACGGCTGTTTACCAGGCAAAGGAGAAGCTGAAATCTATTGAAAAGGCCAGAAAAGGTGAACTGCAGCATTTAGCTTGACCTTGATTTTCTGTTTGCTTATGAATGAACACCAAATGGATCTTTGTTCTCTGCAGGAAGCATATCTTCAGAAGAAATCATCAAGTATGCTCACAGAATCAGTGCCAGTAATGCTGTGTGCGCCCCGCTCAACTGGGTGCCAGGTGAGTCCCTTCAGTGTCTGCTATGATATTTAGTCTGCTTCTCTAGATGATAACAGGAATGTTGCTCTCAGGTGATCCACGCCGACCTTATCCCACTGACCTGGAAATGCGCAGCGGGATGCTGGGACACATGGCCAACCTGCCAACCAATGGGATGAATGGACATCTGCCCGGCGACGCTCTGGCTGCTGGAAGGTTACCAGGTCAGTTTAAGATGGAAGAACCCAGAGGTTCTCCTTAAACAGGAAGAACTTGGTGATTCTTCTTATTAGAATCAGAGAAGAAAAGTTAAATATTAACAAATTACTATTCAGTGTTTTGATTTCTTTCTTTTCCTGACTGACTGATGGACGGAAGCTCAATCCAGTATACATATATTATCCAGTAACACTGGATACTATAGGCTCATAATATTCTGAACATGGTGTGGTTGTTTTTGTAGTGTCTGGAGCTTTGACCATGTTATTGGCATTAGACCTAAGCCTGGCATGTAATCATTGCTGTGCAAATCAATTACACAGTTCAAAACTTCACGGCTTGCGATGTTTATCCTTACTGTACGAACCGACGCTCTGATCCGATCTGGCTACTCAAACTTCAACTCAAACAAGACACTTCAAGGTTTTGAACCATTCTGACATGCAGTGAAATAAATAGATGTAGCTAGTCACTGAGGAAGAAACGCTGCCTTCCGGTTTACTTCTGTTTTTGTTTCGTGCATGCGTAATGTGAAAATCTTTGTCACCAAAATATCAAGCTTGATTTTCCTGTGACCCATCATTTCTGATCGAGAGCTTGTCGTGAGGAGCCAATTTCCTCTAGTGACCCACTTGTATAATGCACGACAGACGGTTCGGCCAAGAGTCGCTCCGATCTCCAAACTTGTCACACAACTGGAAAATCATCCCAAAAACAGTGAAAGGTTTACAGCATATGCTGGGCTTTATAAGTATTTCTGATTTTTTAAAATTCTTTCTCCTTTGTTGTGGGAATAACCAGGAGACAATTAGGAATATTTTCCTTTTTTCCAGACTAATTTTCTACAGTAGATTTTACAGCAAACACTAGAGAGGAGAATCAAATGAGCCCTTAGCTCATAACGGACACATTATCCTATTAAAAGTGGTCTTATTTTGGTCCCCAGATGTTCTGACGCCTCACTACCCCTGGCAGTCCTCAGATGTCTCTGTAGGGATGCTCCCTCCTCACCATGGAAACGACTTCGGCCTCGAGCCCCCAGGTCACAACAAGGAGAACGAGGATGATGTGGAAGCAATGTCCACAGACTCATCCAGCAGCAGCAGTGACTCAGACTGAAAATCAGGCTTTCCGTGTGTGTGTGTGTGTGTGTGTTTTGTGTTAGGCAGCATTTGAACACCCTTTTTCTCATGAGGTTTATTTAAATCTGACCTAATGTGAGAAGCATTCATATGGAGGTAAAGCTAGTTTCATAAATATGCTGTTAATAATTTGCAAAGCAAAAAGCTGTTTTGTCGAAACCCTTAATCCTCCTTGTTTACGTGGAACCGAGACGCAGGTTTTTAGGTCATGGGTTTGGTTTGCCCTTCATAAAACGCAGCACAAGCGACACAAACATCTTTTACTGCACATCTACACGCCTTATGTGTCTGAGCAGGCAGGTTGCCTCTGCTGTGAAGTTATAACCAACCACTTATGCATTAATAACTACAATGGGTGAGGTCTGAGGCTGAATAAATTGTGAGAGGTACTTGACTAAAGACTTTAAAAGATGATTAGTGCTTATGTATTCATTGTCTTTGTAGTTCAAATCTGAAATGTGATGGTTTTGTTTGTTTCCAAACATAAAAATCATCTCTGCTCTTGTTTCAGCTCAGATAATCTGACTGCATCTTCATACAAATTTGCTCAATTTTATTCATATCCCTGATATTTTATATTATCATGCCTCTTAAAGGCTAAGTTGTTTCCTCTATAATGAAATGGATAGATTAAAGTAGGCACTGCCATCTAGTGGTCAATGAGTACCTATCTCAGGTTCTCTTTATTTACATTCAAGAAAGGAAGTACATGTCTTCTCTTAATTTATTAAGAAAATTACAACAGATTGTGCTCTGTTTTTGAATTTGCATAAAAAGTTGAAGTCAGGTTAAGAAGCTAACTAAAATATTGATTTCTAACTTGTAGAAATTTTTTTTGCAGCATAGCAAGTGACATTTTTTTTAAAGTCTCAAATGGATTAATTCTGACCGACTCCTCTTTCCTTTATGCTCTGGTATGTTGAGGTTTGCAGACCTTCGTTTCTGCTCCTCACTCTTTGGGTTCAAATATTTACATTCTGGAAAAGGTCTTTGAAATGTTGCATCTCAATGTGCACAAAGTGAAGAATGAAGAGTTTGATGCTTGGATTTTCAAACTTGTCTTTATTTAGTAGTTTTCAATTTGGTTAGATTTGAATAACAGAAAATGTAATCATATTAATATCGTTCTGGTTTTTTTTTTTTAAAAACATGAAATTTAAAGTGATGTATACAAAGACTAAAACAGTGGAAGGTAAAGTTTGATTTTTTTGTTTTGTTTTACAGTTGTTTACCTTCACATGTTTGGTTAAATTTCTTTTTACTGAACATGATAATAGGTAATAGTAAATACAAATATACTAATTGATCATATGAGATAAATTCTTTATTTAGAAAGATGATCAAAATTGAAAATTTATTCCTAAATATCTAAATAAGACTTCTTAAGAAGGAATTAATTATCCTTGTACTAAAGGACTAAAATATTAAACAGGAGTTCAGCTTCTGAAACAAATAATAGAGGAAGTTAGAGTTTCCTCAAACTGAGCATTCGTCAGCCTAAACAGGGCAACTTATTCAGAAAGACACAAAGAAGTTACTTCATTTAACGCGTTTGATGGCGTTTGCATCGCCCCTTTGGGAGTGACACAAACTTTATTGCAGGAGCTTTTAAACTGATCAATAGCATTTTTGTTTTAGGAATGATGTTTCTGTAAAATCATCTCATGTTTACTTTGGCTGTGAAGTTGGTGCAGTTTCATTTGGATTCAATCAAACTGAGGATTGATGTTTTTGTGAACTTTGTTAGGAGGACCATCTTCCTTCATAGGCAGAAACCTAAAACCCTGTTAAACCCTGCGATCCTCGGGTTTGTTACAGTAAAGTTAACCAGCCCTCTGGTTAAATTAAGCCAACATTCACCAATCAGTTTGATCATTTTGTTAGTCTTTCATTTTCCAAAACAGCATCTGTTACTGTTTAAAATGTGTCTCTGCAGGCAACTCTGATCCTGAAGAAAACCAAACTCAAACTATTTATTTGCTCGTCTCCTGATTGTGTTTCGCTGAGTTTGTTCCATGACTGATTGTCATGGTGTGTGTGTGTGGGTGATAACATATGGCCATACAATGTGTAAATAACTTTGTCAATAGTTTCCTTGTAAATAAATCATTTTTGAATAAACTTTTCTGCATCTAGTTTTTATGTTTGCAATAGGGGTGTTCTGATACCTTTTCATTAATGATACGATGTAAGCGTGAATCATGCATAAGTTATAACTTAAGGTTTCTGGGTTATATGTCGGAAAGGTTTGATCAAGAATTTTACTCAACAATACTAAACAACATGGATGAGAACTGAACCATGTATTATTAATCAGTGACCTCCATTAGCTTTAAATTGATGCATTTTTTCCTTTTTAATTATTTTTTTTTTTAGCTCAGGAAGAGCTACTATAAGCTTTATCAAAAAGAGAAGTTTTAAGCCTAGCCTTAAAGCAGACAGGGTGTCTGCCTCATGGACTAAAACTGGTAGTTGGTTCCACAGGAGAGAAGCCTGATAACTAAAAGATCTGCCTCCCATTCTACTTTTAGAAATTCTAGGAACCACTAGTAAACCTGCAGATTGAGAGCAAAGTGCTCTGTTAGGAACATAAGGAACAATCATATCTCTGAAATAAGATTGAGCTTGGCCATTTAAGGCTTTAAATGTGAGAAGTTTAAATTTTTCTTCTCGCATAGATTTAAAATTCTATTCCGAATTTAACAAGAAGCTAGGATAGGAGAGATCTCGCTTTTTTATTTTCATTAGAACTGTGGCTGCAGCATTTGGGATCAGTTGAAGACAAAAAATTTTTTTCTTCATAGTGCGCCACAGGCTTTTAATGAGAATGCAGATTGGTAATGTCTTGCTGAAATAATCATGGACATTCCTGGGAAGAAAGTTGCTTAGATAAAATATATGTTGCTTCAAAATCTGTTTTTACCTTCCAGCATTAATGATCATGTTGGTTTGACGGAAGAAACCATCAGACTACTCGCACTTTTCCACTGATGCTGGGTTTTTATTTTATACAGTTAAAAATGTGGATTGTCCTTTTTATTCCTTGCCCTTTGTATGGTAAAGTTTTAACTTATATGTAGCTGTAACTACAAGCTGTGTTACCTGACAGTGTTTTTTCTTCTGAAATGTTCCTGAGCCTTTGTGATAAGATATAGAATGATGTGAGTTTCTTCTGAGGCTTCCTTGCCTCACTGCTTGCATGGGTTCTTTTGTATCCTCTATTGATATTATAGACCAAAGGATGGGAGTCAACAAGTCATCTCCATGGCATGCATTTGTTCTGCCCAGCCACTGAATCAGGTGAGTCCCTTCTGTATGGTTCAGTCGCTGGGCCATGGAGATGACTTGTTGACCCAACATCCCCTACCTCTGCTAAGATTGTAGACGATGAAATCCTGAAATTCATTATTATTGCGTATAAAGGAATCTTAATTCCTTTATACGCATTAATAGTCATTTTAAACTAATGACTATTTGCTTACTCAGTCGTTTACAAAATTCACTCCTCCTTGCTTTTAAATGAGCCTGTCAGGGATGTTCCTTATTTACCCAAACATGAGACTAACCTGCTACCAATTAACACGTTCACTTTTGTTTTGGAAGCCACAAATTCAAGATTGATATTTAAAAGAAAAAGGTTATTCATTTTAATATATTACAGATTTTGTCTTTGCAATTTATTTGTTTGCAGAAGTTGGACAGGATTTATAAATTATTGTAATCGGTTTTAATTTCTTTGTTACAAAATAATCTCAATTTTATTGGAATTAGGGGTGAAGTAAATATAACACTTCATAATGCAGAAATTTGTATAGCCAGCTTTATCTAACTTTTGTCAATTTAACTTTGTATCCCAGTTAAAACTGAAAAAAGTTGGTAGTTTGATGTAAATTTGTCAATCTCAGTGCCCCCATGTTTAACTGAACATGTTAAATGCTAGAGGTTATCTGGCTGATTGGATGAAAGCAGAAGTGTGATACTAATACAGGCAGTTATACAGAAAAACTTAAATAGCTCAATGAATTGAATACTATACCAGCAAAAACCAGAACTGAAAAGTAAATTTTAAATATACTTTTATATATCAAAGACAATATCATAATGTAGGTTAAAGGTGAAAGTATGGCTATATTTATAAGGCGCTGAAGACCTTGAACATGCTTCCTTTAAAGGCTCTACGTACAGGGAAGATTCCTTTTTATTTGTGTCCTAATTTTATTCGGGAAACCCTTATAATTCCTCAAAAACTTACTTTGGATCTCTTGAACCTCTTGAATTTTCCAAATTCCTACACGTTGTTGAAGGACGGAAGAAATTGGAAATTATTTAAACCTATCATTGAAACGCTTAAAAATCTTGCATTTACTAGAGAAATGTCTGAAGATCCTTCTTAACAAACTCATTAATTAGTAAATAACTCAGCATTTTCTTAACAAAATTATTCATTTCTAACATCCTCGATTTTTAAAACCTCTTTGGAGTTTATTTGTCTTCAAAAAAGTAATGTGCCCTTATTTCCGATAGTAACTAAACGTCACACGCGGTTGCCGAAGTTTGAAGCTTGCCGCGCATGCGCGTTTTTCACTTCTGTCTTGTATCGGGAGACATGGCGACGTCCCTGATTTGCGGCTGTTTGACGGCTAGCCTGAGATCCTCTGGGGCCAGGAGCTCTATCAGCTCCGCTTCAAAGGTAAAAACGTCCCGAAGTGAAAGGAAATCCGCTTTGCTTCAGGAACATATGTCCCATCCATCGGTGCACATCCTCCTTACAAATACAGCTTCCTAAATAGCCGAAGGGGTCAAATCTGACATTAGCACAACTCCATTGAGTTTCCGTTGTTTTTGCTAACAGGCTAACTAGCGGGAATCTGCTGTTAGCATGGCTAGCTGTCAGTGTTGAAGCAACATGAGTGACCGCTTACAGACGGTTGCCTTGGTCTCAGTTTACTGGTCGTTTGAGGTGTAATTTAGGATTGTGAAGCTGAAGGGCGGTTTGAAGCTCAGTGACCTCCACAGGCAGCTGTTGTCCCCGGATGGACCCCAGCATTTGGGGAAGTTCTCGGATTAAAGGACGGCAGTTTCCATTCATAGACAACCAGACTGCCTTCACAGCTGGGAATGCTTAAAGATGGATCCTGAAATGGAAATGTTGTTGTTTCTGGTGTTTAACTCTTAAAAGAAACAATAAAACCTCATTCGTGATGTTTCATGCAGTCACATGGACTAAGTTTGAGTCGTTATTGGTTATAAATGTGTGATTTTCTTTAGACCAGGCCTTAATTAACGGCTCAGGATACTCTGTATAGTATTGAAAAAGGGATCCACCACCCTCTTTTAAATTTGTTATTTTACAGTCACAGGCTTTTTTCCCCGTCATTCATTAGAGAGGAGCTAATCAATCATCCAGAGTTAAAAATCAACATTTTTCCCCCTCCTGATCGATGTGAAAAACCAGAAATTAATAAAAGCTTTGGACACCTGTTGTGTTTGCACCATGATCACATTCAGTCATATAAAGGTTATCTTGCAACTCTAACCGTGGTCCTTAGAAGCCTCTGGCTGAAGACACTGTTGTTGTTTTCTAGTCTTCTAAAGAGGATGCTGTAAGTTGTTCATAAAGTTATTTATTAATTAAGAATTGTTCTTTGTGAAACCATCTCCAGGTGTTTCAGATGGCTTCCTTGAACAGAACCGTTGATCTTTCTTATCTGGTTGAGCTTCTTTATGTAATTTGCTCTGATGCTGCCACCCTAAAAGCGATCACACTTCATTTCCATGAGAATGTTTGTCTATTAATGTATACAATGTGAAGGGGATGGAAATCTGAATTCTTTTTAGATTTTTTTTTTTTTACAGATTGCTAAAAACATAAATTTACCTCGAGCTTCATAGTGGATCAAACACAACCTTCAATGTAAAATTAGCAACTAAAGTGAATGATGCTGAAGGTTAAGTAAGTTATGTTCAGTTTGTTTGCATTTCAGGGTTTAAATCAATCAACTTTATTGTCAACTACACTTTACATTGCTATTGAGATTTCAGTTTCAATACAAACCGTTCACCACACTACATCACATACATTGGAGTGGGGGCTTAGATTTAATATTTAAAGAAATAAATGTTGTAAATATTGTATA